CGTGCTAATAACGCGAAGGTCGCAGGTTCGAGACCTGCATGGGCCAGAGAAATGTAAAATTTTTACGTTCTTCATTTCAATTTTCAGTCTTTAATTTTGTTTCAACCTACTATCCTCTTGTTTTGTAGCTTTGTGATTGTTTGGATGGCAGTAAAATCTGGGTTAATGAATCTGCGATGCTGGAATATTGCATTCGAATTGGACCCATTTGAGGAAGGTGACAACAATAAACCCATTTTCTTGTTTCTTCATCCTTTTCATGAAATGGGCTTACATTGTAATGTTCATAGCATCTGTTTCTCTCACAACCAATGGGCATGGCCATTCCTTTCTGTAATTGATTATCACCATTTTATGTTAGTGAATAAGGGTGCCTTCTGTGGAAGACACATAGAATGATGAATTCTAGTTTTCTATCTGAAGTTTTGCGATTTCGCATAACCTGATAAAGTGTAATCTGTAATGTGGATGTTCTTCTTTTCTCACTGCCACTGTGAGCTTGATGAAAATCATGAAATATCAATGTTTTATTTTGGATAACATGGGTGTTTAGACCTTTGGCTAGACTGAGGATGACATATCAATATTCATTATTCAGTACTGAATTATTTTAAGCCTGTATGTGCCACTTAGCCGCCTTTTTAATGCTTAAGCATTTTGTCTACAGTACTGAACTGTGGTTAATAGTAAGACCATTCAATCTCCAGCCATTAAAAAGTGAAGATATAGTAGTGGTGGATCTGGGGTAGTTTGTGCAATTACATTCTATGACATGCAAAGTGCTGGCGGAAGCTTCTTGTTTTATCCTTTCTCATTGTGTACTCCCACTATGAGCAAGTTTAAGTGCCTTATCTTGTCTGAAGTTGACTTGCTCAGATCCAGTCCCATGCCTGCCTTCTAGATTCGATATCCTAGTCCTATTCTATACTGTTTTCAGTGTGTGTTTCAACATATTTCTCTTCTAATTTCAATAAATTAATTTTACATTAGTTTAGGCCACATGCGTATATAAAGTTGCAAATTGGTGTGTTTTCATATTTGAATCATCTTCTAAGAAGTAAGAAACTGCTATGAGTATAAAAAATTTCAAAATCATCAGTGTGACTTCCCACAGAAAAAATTCTTCAATAGGATTGTGCATCATTTAAGCAGCCATAGTGTCATAGTGCTTTCAATAATTTATTATTTGAGTTTGAAATTTTCTCTGAAAGGGAATCATATGCCATAGCACCTAGCACTATTAGGTTTGCTGAGTAGAATGGATGAAGTCATTCAATACTAACTAGATATAACCTCTAAATAACTCCAGAATAATACTTTAGTCCAGTAGGCGTGCCCATTAGCACTTTATCACATTCTTTCATGGCCACTTTTAAATGTTAACCAATAAACTCACTTAGACCTTCCACTTTTTTCACATATAAATTACACCTTAGCCTCTGCAGAGGTCTTCAGTACTTGCATCTGCATCTTCAGCTATGGATCACAAACTCCTTTCATCCTTTACTTTTGTCCTCATTTTTATCATGTACTTGTTTCGCTTTGCTTCCCCATTTCCCTCTGCATATGGCCAACTTGATTACAACTTTTATGACAGCTCATGCCCCCGCTTGCAAATGATTGTTAGATATGGTGTTTGGGCAGCTGTAAATAATGACACTAGGATGGCTGCATCCCTCCTTCGGTTGCACTTTCATGATTGTTTCGTAAATGTAACTGCTTGATCTACCATCTACTGCTTGTCTATGTTCTTAACTTTTGCAATGCTTTATCTTACCAAAATCTACCATCTACTGCAATTTTCTTGTCTATATTCATGAGTTTCTCTTTCTTGCATAGGGCTGTGATGCCTCAATACTTCTTGATGATACAGTAGATTCAAAGGGGGAGAAGAATGCTTTTCCAAACCGTAATTCTGTTAGAGGTTATGAAGTCATTGATAATATAAAAGCAGATGTTGAAAGAGCCTGCCCATCAACTGTTTCATGCGTTGATATATTGACCCTAGCAGCAAGGGAAGCTGTTGTCATGGTAATTAACATGCTTATTAATTTCGAGGGTTAGGCTGATTAAATTCTTGACATTGATTCTCAGATCAACTACTTCTTCACTAATTTCCTTCTTTTCCCCATTTTTGTGGCTTAGGCTGGAGGCCCTTCCTGGCCAGTTGCATTAGGTCGTCAGGACGGATTAACTGCTAGTATGCAGGCAGCTAATGAACAGTTGCCATCACCATTTGAGCCTCTGGAAAACATCACTGCTAAGTTCACATCGAAGGGTCTTGACCTTAAGGATGTTGTCGTCTTGTCAGGTTCGTCTTCTTTACTGTTTTTCAAAATTCAAGATAGTAACTTGATGAATGTTCCTTCGCCTGATTTCCATTTTCCATGGAATCTGGAAATAAAAAAGGTTCCTCTAGAGTGGTGGACTATTAGACAGTTAAAACATCACCAAAGATGTTGCTCCACTATTTTAGAGACTCGTTTCTTGTATGAACCAGAGAATTAGATTGCAAGTGTCAATGGTGACATTGCAAATATAACTGATATAAATGGCTTTTCTGCTGTTATTTATTGTAGGAGGCCACACCATAGGTTTTGCTCAGTGTTTTACCTTCAAGAGAAGACTTTATGATTTCAAAGGCTCCGGAAAGCCAGATCCTACCCTCGATGCTTCAGCCCTTGCAAACTTGCAAGATCTGTGTCCAAATAAAGACTCCTCCAACACCATCCTTGCTCCTCTTGATCCTGTAAGCGTTTACAAATTCGACAATGTGTATTACAGCAACCTTATCAACAATGTAGGACTACTTGAATCTGATCAAGCTCTAATGAGGGATCCAAAAACAGCCGCATTGGTCAATTCTTATAGCAGAAATCCTTATCTCTTCTCAAATGATTTTGCAACATCAATGATGAAACTTGGAAACCTTGGGATATTAACAGGAAACAAGGGGCAAATTAGAAAGAAATGTGGGTCTGTGAACTAAATTGGCACTATAATCTTGCCTGCTAGATGTAAATTTTGTACATCTTCACATAATAATAACCGTAGTTATCTTGTACTCTTACCACCCTTATATAAACAATCCAGAATTGTCATACACAACGGCTGCCTGATCTTCTAGTGGGTGACCTGACATTC